GGCAGTGGCCCTGAGTCCAGGTTTGGCTTTTTTAGGAGTGGTCTTATCAGAGCCTCCTTCAGGTGGGCTGGGACCACCCCCTCTCTCAGCAAGGCATTGACAGCCTCCTGGGCCCCTTGCTAGATTTCTTAATGAGCCAAGGTGGGCAAGAATCAGGTAGGCAAATGGTGGCATGAACAGAACAACGTGCCTTGTCTGGGCAGCAATAACGGAAACTCATCCATCCAAGTCAGATAAGATGGTACTCTAGACTTCTCTCTCAATGGCACTAAATCACCATAGCAGTAGCAAACTCATGTTCCTACTGTAGATCCTCAGGTAGTTAAAACAACACTATCAACATGCATCAGGGAGAACCCCAAAGTCTGCAGAAAGATAAAACTTATTTTAAAAAGAACCATTCTGGGTGGGTGGGGTGAACAAAACTGCCCAATGGGGACTGAGCCTGCGTGGTGGACAGTGGATGGTGATTCACGGTTAGAGACCCAGAAAAAAATGGTGATGGGGAGGGGAAATACAATGGGATATCCTGGATGAGCGCCTGACTGGCTGTTTGGTACCCAGAATAGAAGCATTCTGTACTGTGATGTTTTGTTATGCATTGCTTTTCTTCCCAACAATGACACTCAAGGTGGCTTACAGGACCAAGTAAAATTGAATAAAATGTAATGAAAATATAGCAATTACAAAAAACTATCATTAAAAACTGCATCCAACCCACAGACCCATATTATATTTTTTGCCTTTTGTTTTAGCATTATTGCATTTTATTGCGTTGCTTTTATGTTACTTGTCGTGAGTCCTGTGTGCACTGCCATAATATACAAATATATATTCACATACATGATTTCTACATATAAATCTATGAATTCCCTTTCGCAGTTATGAAGAAGCAGAAAAATTAAGAGCAATATCTTGATATCCCCTTCATTTTAGTTCATAAATTGATCAATAGGATACATTTAATTTCTAAGTTATGGGTTGGTCTCATCAGGCTTGTTAATGTTGTTAACTTTGCCATATTCTATAATTTCCATGATGTATTTTGTTTTTGTTGGAATGTCTTATGGCTTAAATTACACTGTTAATTTCCCAACGTTAAGCTCCCCCTGGTTGTCTTCCACTATTGAGTGCTACATGTAGCACAACAACAATGTAACGTTTCTCAAGTGTCATGGCTGATACACATTTTTAGCAAAATTGAAAGTGGAGACAAACTTCCCTCTTAACACCCAAAAAGAGTTACAGTATTTGTGCAAGACAGAGGAAGGGCCCAGCCCTGCGTTTCTGCATGAGTTCTGTGTAAATGGGAAAGAGTAATCCTTAACCAGAGCAGTCAGTCAAGCAAAGGTATCTTACATTGCAATTTCATATAGGTTTATTCAGAAATGAATCCCATTATGTTCAATAAAGCTTACTAGAAAACTTTGCAGAGATTTGCCGTCTTAGCTGATTAAGCATGCAATTCATGCATGTTTAGAAAGAAAGCAATCCTACAATTCCCAGCATGCCTTGGCCAGCATGGCTGACTGGAAGGATGCTGGGAAATGTAGTGCTTTTTCTGTCTCAGTGGGCCTTAAGTTGTGTGTTAACTGTATGGATTTTAGGGTGCAATCCTATACATGTTCAGACAGAAACAAAAGTCCTTTGACTCCCAATCTGCTTTAGTTGGAAAAGACTAGGAGGGGTAGAACTTCTTTGTATGTGCTGCCGGGCACCCTTAATCAATTAGCAGTGTACTACAATGCATGTTCACACAGAGGTATTTCATTAGATTGCAACCTAAACTGGAATAAGTTTGCATGTGCATAAAGCAATTATGCTGTAGAAAAACATATTTTGTTATGATGCACCCCTATGTTGTAGAAAGTGTATCTTAAAAGAGGTATTCCCTCCTGTATATAATTGAGAGAGAAGGGAGAATACCTCATCTAAAATCGCATCTGCTACTTGCAGGTGTGCATTTTTAAATACAGAAATATAATTCACAACCAATATGAATTATCAATTAATAGCAAGATTACCAGACAGAAAACATACACTTCTCTAAAGAGGGATAATTATAATAAGTGTCCCAGTATGTGACAAACAGTGCCCTTACAAAATTTCACAGTTACTTTTCCTTTGGTCAGGTATGCATCAGACCAACCAGTTGCTGCTTGCATGTTTTACCTGTTGAATTGAAAATATTCATTTTTAAAATTCTGCTGCCCATTTACTCTTTGTAGTAAATCTTACGAGTTTCCTTTTAGGTTGTGAGGGAATGTAAGAAGAATTGTGCTAGATCAGACCAAAGGCCTTTCTAAGCCAGGGTCCTTTTCTCTAGCCCTGCAGTGGCCATCTAAATGTCTAGGAGAAGCCCCCAAACAGTAAGCCTTTCCTGTTATTATTCCCCACCAGCTGGCATATTACCTTTCCATCTGGGGGCAATATAGCCCTCAGTCATTAGGAGTGTGGCCTGACTGGATATTTAAGATTGTACCTGGTGAATCAACAGCCCTAAACTTCTCAGAGGAGCCCACTGTTTATGATCCTGCACAAGTCTCTACTTGGAGTGCACCCTTCTATATGGAAGGAGACACAACCAGAACAGTGACTCATGCAGAGATGCAACAGCAACTTCTGGAGGTGAGCAATTCTGCTGAGTTTTCACATCAGAAGGAATTAAACAAACCAGCCTTCAAAGGTCAGGCAGAAAGATTTAAGCCTAGCAGAGGCTGATGGGAAGTGGGCAAAACCAGAGCAATGACTCTTGCAGAGATCAACAGGCACCTTTCCTTGTGAGGTATACCAGGACTGGGAAAACTGTGGCCCTCCAGATGGTGCTGAAGTCCTGTTCTTACATAACATACCTGGTCAATGCCCCATGTTGATGCAGTCTGACAATATCTGGAACCCAACAAGTTCTCCACTCCTGGATAACAGGAGTTATTTATTTAAAGGACCATTAATGGCTCATTCAGAATTCCTTTGTGGTGCATATGTTTGGGAACTGCTGTCCCATCCTGGCATACTCTTCATTCTACTATATTACCCTGTACTGACATTCTTTGACATAGCCTCCAAGTGATCCAAAAGTGAGGTCTCTATAGTTGCAGCATCTCAAACTATATACTGCACAGTCCTTTAATGCAGATTATGCAAACTACTATTTCTAATAAATGCCTCATATTGCTGCTTTCTGGATTTGCTGATTAAGCTTGCTGCAGTTTTGCACACTGAATTATAATTAGGTATGTGGTGGTGCAGTTGTTCTTAGCAACCATATGGCAGGATTCCTATTTCCTCTGGTGAAGTGTGCTTGCACTGAAAAAAACTAAGTACAAAATCATATGCATGTCTGTTGAATGAGTGAAAACGCCATTGCTTGTTATCTCCCTTTTGTTGTTTATCGCTGATTCTTTTGTCCTACAATTGTCAAACTATAATGAGTGTTATTTAGAAAAATAGAGACATCACTCTGTTTGCATTTAGGGGGACTTACTCCCAAGGAAGGACTGCAACCTAAAGGGACAAATCTATGCATGTTTAGGAAAAAGCCCTACAACTTCCAGCATTTCCCAGCTAGCCAGACTGATTATGGAATGCTGAAAGCGATGGGATTAGGACTTGCATGTTCTGCCTATCCAGACATAGGATCACACATTAAAACTGCTTTTTATGCCGCTCTAGCTACTTCAGTATTGGATAATTGTATCTGATGAACAAAAGGTTTTTGTAGGTTTACATTAATATTGAAGGCACCTTTTTATAAATACAAACAGCACGTTTTCAGCTAAATCCCTTTGATCTTAAGGAGGCTCGCTTCCAGGTAACCCAGTCTAGGATTTCACAGTGTTAGTGTCCTCTATAAAACAAAAATTAAGTAAACCCTCTCCGAAATCTCAGCTTTTGCATTCGACTTCCTGACCAATCGGTGGTTTTGACGTTTAATTCCGAGTCACAACTCTGGCGCAGGTCCCACTGTGATGAACGCCGAGATCGCATGACGAAACTACGACGATGACAATTATTGCTCCGAGCCTCTGGGATTTGTAAAAGAGAGGCACGGGAAATGTTCCAGCTCTTTAGGATTTCTTTTCTTCCAGGGCTGCCCTACGTTCCTTCCGTGGAACTTAAGAAAAGCGTATCCAGGCTAACCATGCGATTCCCCGAGACCTCGTTAGCTTTCGCAGAATTGCTACAAGTGCTTTCAGACCACACCCTGACAAGCGGACGGGCTGCGGGGGGGGGGGGGGGCTCGCTTAGACTTGAACCAGCGACTGCTTAGGGATGGGGGAGTTTATAAGCGCCTATGCTTATTCCTGCCTTTAGCCTAGCTCGAGGCACAGGATCGTCTTCAGTGTGCGGGGGGAACTTGGCAACAGAAAGTTGAACCCCAGCAGCCGCCTCTAAGAACAGGCAACGACTCGATAAACGCTTATTTGGGGAGTAAATCCCATCGCATTCCGTGCGAATTACTTCCGAATAATCATTATTAGGGTCGGAATAAAATACTGTCCACCCCTACCTGCACATACATCTTTTAAATAATAATTTATGAATAATTATGCATAACGTCGATCTACAAGAATCCAGCTGTTGTTCGTTGCCCAGTTTAGCGAGAGTCGGCGTGCCTTTTGCGCATTGCACTGCAGCGCAGGACAAGAGGGAGAGAGACCTGGCAAAGAAACCGTGCACGAGCTGGAGAGAACCGCGGAGCTCAGGCGGCCGGCGGAGTTCAGCGGGGACTCGAACCCACCACCCGCGTTGGGGAGTCCGCTCCCTGCTCGCTTTTGCGCGGGGTAGCAGCTCTGTACGCGATCCGCACGTTCTAGCACGGTGCGCTCTCGGCCTGCAGGGTGCAGGCGTTAGCCAAGGCGGCGGCGCGGCGGCGGCGGCGGCGGCGGCGGGGAGGGGAAGGAGGAGGAGGAGGAGGAGCCAGGCCGGCCTCCTTCCCTTCGGCTCTCGAGTCCATTTCCCCAGCTCTAGTGACACAAACACACCAGGCGAGCGCCGCTGCTGCCCAAGCCAGGATCTTACAACGCCCCCCCCCCCCCCCGCCGCCTTCTCCTCCCCGTCTTCTCCAAGGCGCTCCAAGTGCACAACCGATCCCCTCCCCTGGGGCTGCACGGAAGAAGCGCGCGGGGAAACTCCAGCTTGCGAGGCGAGGGGAAGGGGAGGGGGGCACGACGCCAGCTTCCTGCTTGCAAAGAAGGGGGCGGGGGGAGAGAGAAGAAGACGAGAAGGAGAAGAAGCAGCAGCGGCAACCTAAAGGTAGGTTACAGGGTGGTGGGAGAAGAGTGAATTACGCATCTCCAACGATCCTTTTGGGGAGGTTTCCTTCCTTTGCGCTCCTGAACCCCAATATGTCTTCCCTCCTCTGCCCCCCCACCCTCTTCCAGCTGTCTCCACCCTGCGCTCCCCGTCCCATCGCAGCTGTTCCTGTCACTGCCAACGTTGCAAATCTAAAGGAGATTGGGCAGGGGTGGTGGGAAAAAGATTGCGCCCCCCCTTCCATATAGGGATTTTTAGCCCTTGGAATCTTGTGGAGCGCAATCTCTCCTCTCCCCCCTCCTTCTTTCTCATTTAATCTCATCACTTACTCTTCTCCCCCCTCCTCCGTTTGGCATTAACCTATATATATCTATATATTCTGTCTCTCTCCAGCAATGGAGAGGGAGAGTGCTTTAAGGAGGGGCAAAATCAGGGGGACGAGAGAGAGAGAGAGAGAGAGAGAGAGAGAGACAGCTCTATAGTTGTAGACACTTCCCTTTAAAATTTTTTTGCTGGTTTGTTTACTGCACTCATCGAGAGATTGGTGCCAAGTTGGGGTTTGCAGTAATTTCTCACAAAAATAAAGGGTTGGAATCCAAATAATTCTCAAAGCGATTTTCTCTGCAATTTACTCCGGAAATTAAAATTATACTTATTGCAACTGCTAAAGAGATAAGGGAGCTATTTGAGTTGGATTAATATGCCCCCTCTTTTTTCCCCTCCCTTGCATAAATCTAGTACTCGCCACGATTTGTGTCCCTGATTCTAATCCGGAGTGGGTCAGTGTTTTTCTTATTTCATTTTACTTGTTATTTTTAACTCTTAGAAAAATGGGTTGCAAAGGCCACTGCTAGGAAACTAGTTTTGACATTCATTTTCGGGGTGGAGGAGTTTGGAAAGGAGAGGGTATTTTTCTATTGGTGTTTAAAAGGGGGGAAATATGGGTAAATATTTTCTTAAAAAATAAGGACGTTTGGCATGTGGCTGGCGGATCACAAGTCTGGGGGGGCTGCAGGGGGGACTGTGAAGTATTCCTTTTACATTGGCAGTAGGGCCCATTTTCCAGTTCAGTTGGATTTAACTTTGCGTGTTTTATTTTTATTTTTTTTTTCTAAACAAGAAGGTCGGGTGGGGGGGTGAGTGATGGGTTCCCCCTCTTGGCTCGATCAGGGAGGGGGTAGGAAGGGAGTACTTCGGGTTGAAAAAGGACTCATGCAGCAGGGATCCTGTCCTTGAAGGAAGGGGGGTTCTGAGGGGCGACGTTGGTACTCCTGCTGTCACAGTGACAGCTGTCTGTGATGGGACATAGCTAGGGTGGGGGTCTAATCCTAGCTGCTGATGCATCCTGGTGTTTAAAAATCAAATGGCTTGTGCTGTCTGTAAATGCTTCTAGCCCTAAGCATCCTGTTAGGTGGAACAAATGGAGGGGGACCCTTGCAGTGGTCTAATTTGTGCCCCGGGTTGGATGCCCACAGCAATCCAGCCAGCATGCAAGTTTTGCATGCATCAGGCCTGAGGGGGGAACTGTGCAGAAACTGCCATCCCTCCCATGCAGGGAGGTGCTGTGTTTTACCCCATTTTTCTCTTCAGTCTTGAAAACGTTGTTTGGGAAAACAAAAATCAAAGCCCCCCCTTCACCTTTTCCTTGCTAGTGCTGGCTGAAGTACAGGCTAGCTGGGTGGAAGGAAGGAAGGGACCAAGCAGCCCGCCCTTTAACCTAAGGGTATCCCCAGGGAATGTGGGTTGTGTGGGTCAGTAAAAGGTGATGGGGTCAACCCAGGTGTCTTTCAGTCCACTTCCCTTGTAAATAGGTGGCACAGTCCTTTTTTGGTGGAGTCTGCATGTGGCAGAGGGGGCTTCACCAGGAAGCTGGCAGGTTGGAGTAGATATGTTGAAGGGGAAGCCCCTGTGGTTAGGTGAAGAAATCAGCCAACATTTTTGGCAGGGCTGGAGACCTGTTCATAGAGCCTTTATTTCTGCATGGATCTGCTCGATAGCTCTCCCTCTTGGTGTGTGTGTCATCTTTCCTCCCCACCCCCACCTTCTTTCACCAGCCTGGGGCTCCCACCCTGACCCCATGTCCCTTTGGATCTTTTACTGCTTCACTCGGCTCTATCAGCATGCAACATTAATTGTCACTTTACCTGTCTCTGGAAAAGGAGCTGACTTTGGCTCCGAATATGGAGGTAGGGGACAGGAGAGGCATGATAGGGAGATCACCTTTTACCACTGGTGGGGTTGTGAGGCGAAGTCGATCTGCAACTTTTTGAAAAATCTGTAGCTGGGAGGTTTTGAAGGAAGTTAAAAGTGTTGGGTGAATGGCAGTTGTGCTTAAAAGGATGAAAGTTGTGTCCCAGAGAGCAACCTCAGCCTTTGCTCACCCTAACACAGCTAGCAGTGACTGGAGGGGTTAGTGCAGGCCAAGAATATGACTTGTTCAAAGTCAGAGGTCAAAGCTAGGAATCAAACCCAGAAATTCTTTCTTCTGTTGCAAGAGCAGAGTTTTGTCAACACTGCAGAGAGCTAGGGCAACCTTAGGGCATTTTTATCCATCATGTCAAAAGTCTCTTTTTTTCTTCCTCTGTTACCTGCCACTATAGCTCAAATGTAAAACTTTACACTAGCTGGAATGAACGTTCATGGTTTAAAATATATCTCCCTTTTTCTCTTCGTAAGGGAAGTTTAAAAGAGCATCCTTACATGTGGAAACACCCTTGTTAGAGTCACACGGTGTGTTGTCTCCTATGCTTTAGACCTTTTGTCCTAGTTCCTGATGCATGATGCATGGAACAGGGTGTGCATGCTCAGTGGTGAGGGAGAGGCACCCCTTGGGGCCAGACATGCTGTCCCTACCAATGAAAAGCAAGTTCTGCTGACTTGTATTTGTAGATGGAGCATTTGTGTTGACTATGGAGTGCAATATACAACAGATGCTTGTCTTGGGAGAGAACTGGCTTTTTAAAAGGTCTGATAGATTTGGGATGTGCTTTGGGTGCTTTGCTTTGCTCTGCTGTGGCTGAGCCTGGGCTGAGTTTTAACAGATAGCATTTAATCGTGACGCTGACACCTCTAGAAAGAAGCCTTAATCTGCAGTAGACACTATTGCAAATAACATGCAATACACAGGTGGCCAAGCTTTTCCAGTAGCTTCATAACAGCAACCAAACAGGTTTCCCTACCTGTATGCATTATTGTCTGTGTGCTCCAGATGGGTGCCTACATTTGCTCTGTCTTGAGTTGGTGAGCTGCATTTGCATTTGGTGGTAGCATCAGCACCACAGCTTGTTGTTGTGTGCCGTGACTTCTCCGCTTTGTTGTGGTGGATGCCACAGGGCCCTCCGTGTCTGATCTGCTCTGATTTGAGGCTGGGGTGACCCTCGGGGATGCCTTTCTCTGAGACTTTTGTTGACTCTCCGTTCCATATTGAGTGTGGCTGCAGCCCCTGGCATTCTAGACAGAAGCGCAGCAGACAGAGTGGGCTGCAGGATAGGTTTGCTTGCTGCAGTCCCCCCCCCCCCTTCAGCTTTTCTGCTCAAGCTTACACTTCTAGAGTTAATTTTCTGTGCTTGCTTTAAGATGTCCCAAGTGGTCTCTGATTACTGCCATAGGCTGCAAAATGATTTTTTTTTAGTAAACATCTTTAACATGGTTGCATGTATTCCTCAAACCCAAGGCTAGCATAAAGATGTGGTGCCAGTGTGTGTAAGATCTTGCATGCACGGTTTTGTTGGGCTCTTGTACAGGTTGATGTGTAAGGGACAAGTGTATATATGCACATGTATCGTGGTACCTGGTCGTCCACAGAGAGTTGGGTAGTGTGTGCACAAGCTTTCTGCATGCTTGTAGATGTATAATATTTGCATATGTCTTGTGGGAATATACCATATGTACAAATTGCATGCTTATTTACAGGTGGCATTTATATATACGTATATATTTTAGCACTCAGTCGCTTGCTACATAAGCAAGGGAGAAATAGAGACTTGCCTTAGGGCTCTTGGTGATTTTCATGGTCATGCAAGGTTTGAACCTTCTTTCAGCATGCTTCAACTTGGCTGCCTCTCATTTGAACCCCACTGGCTCTCTTCAGTGACAGAAGTACCAAGTGACCTTTCACACAGTGTAGCTGCCCACATTTCAGCCCTGTTGTAGAAGAGGCCCCTTGGGATGGCAGTGGAACCAACTAGCTAGCCTTTGATCCCCCCTATAGTACCTGAACTCAAGGTCATGTTCTCTCTAAGCAGGAGACCAAGGCATTGCAAACTCCACCCAAGGCCAAGGGACCTTTGGTCCCAGGAATGGGTAGCTCCTTTGCAAACTCTGGATAAGAATAATGCACTACTAATAAATCAATTTCCTACTGTGCTCTGTTATACCCAGAAAGATATCCCTGGGAACTGGGGAACTGTGTTTTGTTTCTGTAATGTCCAGTTATTAATTGATCTCCTAGCCCCAAACTAGCAAACTGACCTCTTCAAGGGCATTCATAAAACCCCTGAGTACAGGGATTATGAGTTGTGTGCTTTTGTAAACTGCAGATCTCATGGCCACGACATCTGGCTTAATTTTCAGATATTTCTGCTTCTTCCCCATCCCCTGCTTTGTGTACCTTCTAGTTTGATAAAAAGTTCTGGCAGACTTCAAAGCTTACATGATCATGTGTGGCATTTTTGTTGGTCTGAATAATGATATTGCCCAAAGGTGGATTGTGGATTTATGTATAGCCAATAACAGTGTCTTGTGATCTGATGCCTAAACTGGGAAAGTTATTAACTTCTAAAGTGAGAGGTACAGACCTAGGTGGGACTTCTCTCCTTGATCCTTGGATGTGGTGAATCAGGATTTGACTGTACCAATTTATTTACTGGAGAACATGAAAATACCACAACAGCTTACACCATTAAAATTGAAAGAAAATTCATGATAAAGACTTTAAAAAAATTTCTAGATTGCAAACCTGTAGGCAGGAACTGTCTTACCTTATTGAATATATGGAAGTG